CAGTGCCACCGCATCCGTGGCAAGCCCATCGGGGCACGACCTGCATCTCATCTAGCGATTATGAGTCTCGAGTACTCCTCTGCTCTCTCCTGAAAGAACCCAGCCCCGCCAGGCTCGAGACAGCTCTTCCCGTCTCCGATGGCTGGCGAGTCACCGAATGTGCGCCTTCTCCTCCACCCCTTTGGTGCGGCCCTGTCGCCTGGTAGCCATCGCCGCCGCCCCTGATCGCCAGTTCGCCACCCCGTTCGTTCTTTTCCGCCCTAGATTCCTTTACATGCATGAAACCAAACAAAACAAGGATTTCTCCATTAGGGGACGTCCCCGTTACCAGCGTGATCTAATTCCTTTACCATTGATGTTACCACTCTCTAATGCAAACACCTCATAAGTGCAATTGCATGGAGTGCTTAACGATACTCCTTATCACGTTGCCATGTCACTCAGAAAGCATGGCTTGAAATAAATCCAATGCGGTATATGTATGTAGCAACAACAATAATTACTGGTCGCAATCCACAAATTGCACTTTTCTCTATCTGATCTAGATTGATACGCTACTAGAGCTTGTAGGCCACCGGACACGAGCCGAGAAGACAAAGTCACATCACGCACCGCGTGGACGCAGCATTTGTTTCCGTAGCCGCACTCCGTCTGTCCTTCCGGAATAAAAATCAAGTCCCTCCCCCGGCCCTCCTTCCCAGACCGTCGCGAGCAAGCAGCCAAAGCAGAGCAAGAAGCCGCAGCCAGCCAGCGAGTCTCCTCCTCCTCGGGCGGGAGGGAAGAGAGAGGGAGACAGCGACCGGGCGAGAGGCGGCGGAGGCTCCGAGGAGGCGGCCGGCAGCGTTGGCCCGGGAAAGGGACGGGGCCGGAGGAGGTTGGCTGATCGGTTGGAGGGAAGGGAAGGTCGGGAGGGAGGGGATGGCGGCGCGGCGGGCGGCGGCGTGGGAGCAGGGCGGCGACGAGTACGACTACCTGTTCAAGGTGGTGCTGATCGGCGACTCCGGCGTGGGCAAGTCCAACCTCCTCTCCCGCTTCACCAAGAACACCTTCTCCCTCGACTCCAAGTCCACCATCGGCGTCGAGTTCGCCACCCGCACCACACAGGTCCCCTCCCCTCCCCTGCTCTCCCCTCCTTTGCTCTGCTCCACCTGGCTTCCTTAAATTCGCCGAATCGTTGGATGCTTTCGATCGATCGATTGATTGATTCCTTGCAGCACTAGTACCAGCTCTGCTCCTCTTGCCTGATTATAATCTTTGCAAGCTATTCGTGCCCTGTGAGCAGAGAAAAAAAATGCATCTAGTTACTATTTGAACAAATTCGGATGATGGAAACCCAGCAAATTTCTAAATTTCAGCTGGTTTGGATCAATTAATCCAAAAGAAATACGAAGTAGAAGCGTGTGTTTAACAGAGAGTATGATGATGCTTTCAAGCGGTAGGGTAAGATGCTATGCAGAAGCATAGCCAAATTCAGTTTCTACCCTGATTGAAATTCGATACCTGAATACCCTTGAAACCACCCAATCATGAATTTTGCATTCGAATACAGTACAACAAAGTTTTCCTTTTGTCAAAGTTGTTGACTATCTTATCCCTGCGTCATTAATGCCGGTTTCCTTTTGTCAATGACCATGTCAATCTTGCTGCCCGCTGCCTCCATATGCCATCCGGGCCTTGCATCATGCATCAACAGAAACTACAACTAAATTTGGTCGATGGCTGTTTTAAAGTGCCATTTCTGTTTCCAGTCACCATTTGCATCATCACCGGGATTTGATTGGTACCAAAATTCATAACATGAGATCAGGACAGGTGGATGGTAGTTAGGCAATGATGTGATGTGATTGCACTTCCAACATTCCTGACCACCCAATCAATGGCTCGTGATCCAGTTGACAGTTGCACCTTCCTTCTAAAAATTAGTCTGATGATGTCCATTAGCCAGCATCAACATTATTGCCCGGTTTGCTCAGAAATATTCTACTACATCTGTCCTGGTTTATAGGTCCTCTTTGTAGTTTGTGCCAAATTTTGACTAAAGATTTAACTAACAAAATGTTAACGCATGTCAAGAAAAATTATCTCATTGCATTCGTATTTGAACATAGTTTTCAAAAATATAATGTTTGGTGACATGCGTGAACATTTTGTTAGTTTAATCTATGGTAAAAATTTGGCACGAAATACAATGAGGACCAATAAACCCGGACGGAGGTAGTACCCATAACTAATCACATTGCTGCAACACTTGCGTCGTTCAGGTGGAAGGGAAGACGATAAAGGCGCAGATATGGGACACGGCGGGGCAGGAGCGGTACCGGGCGATCACGAGCGCCTACTACCGGGGCGCAGTGGGGGCGCTGCTGGTCTACGACGTCACCAAGGCCGCCACCTTCGACAACGTGAAGCGGTGGCTCAAGGAGCTGCGCGACCACGCCGACTCCAACATCGTCATCATGCTCATCGGCAACAAGACCGACCTCCGCCACCTCCGCTCCGTCGCCACCGACAAGGCCGCCGGCTTCGCCGAGTGGGAAGGCCTCTCCTTCATCGAGACCTCCGCGCTCGACGCCACCAACGTCGACAGGGCTTTCCAGACCGTCCTTGCCGAGATCTACCGAGTCGTCAGCAAGAAGGCACTGTCGTCGGCGGATGATTCCGGCGCCGGCGCCGTCGGAGAGGGGCAGTCCATCCTCGTGTCCGGCGGAGAACCCACCAGCGTTTCCTCGAGATGCTGCTCTTTCTAGCCGATGCATGTCACCATGTCAGCCATTTCGGTTGATTGCTTAATTAATATGTGACCATGTCCTGCGACCAAAATAAATTCAGAAGGTTATTTATTTTTTAGGCCAGTACTAGGCGCCGGTGCGCCGGCCCAAATTTGGGCCGGTCGTATCCTGTACGTCTGATTAAAACTCTTTTAACCGTCAGATTCTGGACACTCCGTCCCTACCACGCCGTTCTCTACTCTGCAAATCACGCGAGCGCCATGGACGAGCTACTTGACCCGCCGGATCTTCGCCGCTAGTCGGATCTCCACCGCTCGCCGCCTCTCTCCGCAGCTCCAATTCGTCGTCGCTGCACACCCTCCTCATCCCCCGTCGTTTCAGCACCACCCCCCGACGGATGCATCTTTGCCAAACGTCGGACGCAGCAACTCTCGCTGGCTCCGCCCATCACAGCACAACGTCGACGCCGTAGTCGACCTGCACCACCTGATTCCACCAAAAAACACATCTCAGCCCAAAAAAGAACTCCGTTGGGTAGTTGCAGCAGAACCAAAAATTGGTTCCAACAGAAAAACAAAGGTTTCCAGCAAATCAACTTGAGCACCTAGCAAACCCAGTAATTTGCTTGAAGCAAATTAAATCACGATTCCAGCAAATATTAATATGGTTCCAGCAAAAATGCGTCGCCGCCTCCTGATCGTAGCAAATAATCTCAAGCAACAAGAAACTCGTCACAGCAAAATCATTTGCCGGCTCCAGCAAAAAAAAGATCCGGCTCCAGCAAAAAATGACCTGGTTCCAGTAAAGAAGATGAATTAAGCTGAGCAAAAGCTGGAACCGATGATTCGAAAAGCTGGAACCGGTGATTGAAAAAGATTCAATCAGATGAAAAAAAGCTACAACCATTGGTTTTGAATTGACACTAAAAATCCAAAAAAGCTACAACCGGCTGAATAAAAAGCTACAACCGGTGATTTGGTAAGCTGGAACCGGTGATTTGGAATATTTTTTTGCAGAAATCACATCTATTTGGACCAAAGCTGGATCTAAAAGTGATTAAAAAAAGATTCAACCAGTTAAGAAGAAAGCTGCTACCAGCGATTCAAAAAGCTACAACCGTGTGGGCAAAACAAAAATAGAAAAAATCTTCCACCGGTGGCATGGGAAGATTTTAATTGAAGCCGGGATCACCGGAGCTGCACGGACATGGAACGGCAGCCAACGGTGACTTGCAGCCCGCAGCAAAAAGTCTCCACTGCTGCCGAGGGCGCAGCATCACCGGAGAGCGCGCGATGGATCTCTAGTCCCCTTCGAGCCGCCTGATCTAGCTGCGCGCGGTGGTCATCGATGTGTGGAAAGATAGAATAGATCGAGGAGGAAGCAGTGCAGGGCGAGAAAAATGAATGGAAGCGAAGCATCCATGAATGGATAAGGCGAGGTGCTGGCGGTTGGTCTGAGAGCGTTCTCTGATATACTAGCATGGTAGGTGCTGCAAGTTGCTGCTGTACGTACGTATTGGAAAGAAATATATGCACATTCATATCTTCTCTCAGCCAGGAAGATTGACAATGACTCTGTCTCTGTCAAGTTATAATGTCCCTCAAAGTTTGCGGAATTGTTGGGATACTGCTCGCCGTGCTGAAACGGCTGCATGCAGAGTTCATCTCTGAACTATTATTCGGTAAGAGTTTCATCTATAGTTGTTGGTCTCTCAGGCGTGTGCTGAGGTTCAGGTTTAAGGCCGCCTTGGAAAGAGTCCATCGGTTTGCTAGTGTTTTTCAAACTTGTTTGCATCTCAGACAGTACTCATTTGTCAGCTCGAGTCGGTCTTTCCATTTCAATCTATATTGTGTAATCCTTTGTTTGCAACGCAATTTATAAACACCACCCTTTCTAGCTTGTACTAGCAGTATGTTTTTGAAATGATGATATTGTGAGTTGCCTTTCTTGGAGCAATTGGTCAACGCCAATAATTCAGCACGGCAGCTCTCGGCTCTGAACCAAACAGACTCGGAGTATTTTTTTCAAAGGTGGGAGCATTATTTAAAAGGCGTAAACACTTTTTTTTAAAAAAAGACCAGGCAACGGCAGCCAACACTACAACCACGGCGGCCAGTTGTTGGAACCGGTGGCCACCGTTGTTGCAACCGGCTATAGCAGCAACTATGGCAGGAGCTCCAACCATCGACGAGTGCTGGAACCAGCAACGCAATCTGTTGCAACCGGTGGTGAGCGGGGTTTCGGCCATGGCTCAAGGCAAACCGAAGCTACAACCGACACGGGCAGGTGCTACAACCGGGTGGGGGTGGGAGCGGTAACTGGCACGGGACGGTTCTACAACTGTTTGCCGGAGAGCTACAACTGACAAGAAAAGGTGCCACAACCGATGGCCGATGAGCTGCAACCGATAGGGGGCGATGCTACAATCAGTGGCCGGTGAACTGCAACCAGAGACGGGCGAGCTACAACCGACATAGTTGCGAGCTACGGGACGGTTCTACAACTGTTTGCCGGAGAGCTACAACTGACAAGAAAAGGTGCCACAACCGATGGCCGATGAGCTGCAACCGATAGGGGGCGATGCTACAATCAGTGGCCGGTGAACTGCAACCAGAGACGGGCGAGCTACAACCGACATAGTTGCGAGCTGCAACCGGTGGCCCGTAGATGCTACGTTTGCTATTAATGGCTGCGGCGAGCTCGGCAAAGGAGGATGGCCTACGTCCACACGCTGCCGACGTCTACGCGCCCCGGGCCGGTCCTGCGATTGTAGGGGCTCGGGGCGAGAGTAGATTAGGCTGCAGGGGCGGCCGTGCCAATGCATGTGGCGGTGCCAAACTTCCCTGCATCTTTTTAATTTATTTTTATCGGATGTCCCCAAAGGAACGATGCTGGCTGCCGCGCTCAGGGAAATAAACCGGTTCGCCTCTCCCTACCGGGCCGATGTGGGACTAACTAAAACGAGCGTTTGTTTTGCTGCCCAGGGCGAGTTCATGTGTGGGCTGCGGCAGCTCCCGTTCGTCGCTGGGCCGTAGTGCTGGACCGCGTGCATCTCATTTTGTTGCCGGCTGGGCTGTTCCATGGATTGTTTTGGTGCGGCTGTCAACAACGCTCGACCTCCTCTCGCCAATTAAACCGTGTGTACTCGTCCGTAACATTCTTTCAAAGGGTAACAAGCAAAATCCACGGTGACAAGGGCAGGCTAGGAACCCTAGCGGCTAGCACGGTGGTTGACGATGAAGTGTGCTAGCGGTTGGCGGGCAACGACGGTGATACGCATAACCGCTGCATCCTCTAGTCCAGCTCCCACTCCCCCACTGCCTCGTCTCCTGCGATAGTAGCCAGCGGTGTCGGGTGGTGCGTGTGGCACGACGCTGATGAATCTGCCAGTCGGCGGTCGCAATTCGGGTAGCGGGTGGCGGCAAATGGCAAGAGGGAGGGGAGCAGGTAAAAAAATTCTCCTGAATTTCTATCAATGCAGCTTGAATTTATGATTTTTCATCAAATACAAATCTTATATTCTTAGTGGTCTTCTAACACTGTGAAATGCAGATTTGACCCTTCCTAGTTACAGGATTTTTTATTAAATGTGCAAACACATCTTTTAGTTACATGGAAAACTAATGAGAAATAAGAATTTTTAATTACAAGAACCATTTTTGAAATATACAAATATTTTATTTCTTATAGTATATTAGTTTTTGTTCAATCCATGAGTTTTTTCAAAAAATTATACACATTTAAAAATATTCATGTACTTTAAAAGTGTTCACTTTAAAAAATTAATGTAATTTTTCAAAAGTGACCACGTATTTTATTTTTCTAACAATGCCCCATCCCTTAATTGGCGCCAGTGAGCCACACTCACAGCCACACGTGAATCCATCAACCCCTTGCCTTGTCTCCGCCAATGACCCACGTGTCCTCGCTAGGAATGGACTGATTAAAAAAAAAACCAAATTTTCTGGCAACCGGTGATTAGCAAAAGCAAAGATATAATGATGCAATGGGATACTAGATGAGCGGGCCATGAACATATGCTTATCTATCACCAACTGCCATATATTGAGCCACGAGCAAAAAAGTTAAATCATGAAAATTATACACTAGTGCAAAAAAGCCTAACTATGGCGTGGCAAAAATAGCCTTACGGTCGTTAGGTGGCAATGCCACTAAAATGGCGCCAGTGATAAAATTTACTGATGGCGTTGAAGTACACATCACCCGTACTTGTGTGCTAATGGCGTGTCACGTGGCCAACGCGAGCAGTAAGTACATAATATTTACTGATGGCGTTGAAGTACACATCACCCGTAATTTTGTGATTTTAAAAATTTGTCGAAGCGGAAAACTTGTTGTTTCAGCGGATCAATCTTTTTGTTCTGCAAATTTTGATATATTATATGTATTTTTCTGAATTAGGATGATTTAGTTATGATTTTTCCAAGTTTGAAAATTGCCACATAGTCCCGCTTTGTGTCTCCAACCGGGACTATAGGTTAGACCCCTTTAGTGCCGGTTCGTGGCACGAACCGGTACTAAAGGTTGGCCCTTTAGTACCGGTTTGTGCCACAAACCGGGACTAAAGGGGCTCGTGGGGCCCTGGCCTGACGCCAGCCTGCCACCACCCCTTTAATACCGGTTCGTGGCACGAACCGGTACTAAAGGTTCAACACGAACCGGCACTAATGCATAGCCGTTTGAAGCGGTACTAATGGTAGCATTAGTACCGGGCCAAAATTGAACCGGTACTAATGTGTCTCATATAAGGTCCTTTTTCTACTAGTGAGCGGACTCGTCCGAGTCAGTGGGCCGGCACGCGCTGATTGGCCGCACTGGCACTCTACTGGTCAGGTACACCGCCAATACGTGCTTATACACGGTTTGCGGCTTGCTCCAAACATGGTAAATTGAATAGTGGTACTGATTCGTTACCCTAGACCCAAATGTGGTAGTGGTACTAACATGCAATCAACTCCATGGGGCTTAGCGGTGTGTTGCCTCTTCCATGCTAGAGAAGCTATAGCGTTCATGGATTCAGTCGTTTTTGTGGTTCAGGTTTGTAATGTTGCATCACGAGTAAAAAAAATGTTAAATCATGGAACTGGAGTATGATGGATCACTTATAACTTGATTTTGCATTAACTGCCAATATATAGGACGATATTCAGTACTGATTCCAGTGAAATGTCATATATCTTCTTGGTAACCAACGTTGCTATGACTTTGATCGGTCTAGCTAGACAGCAGTTTCTTCCTGCTTTGCGTCCCCTGCTGGCCGGGAACCAAGAGTGCGAGATGGTTGAAGGACGGAGCCACGGAGCGACGGGGAAGCGTCCGGGTTGCAGGACTTGCGGCTCGCTGCTGCTGCCCCGTCGAGGCCGATGAGGTGGCGACTTCTCATCGGCGAGCGGCAGCAGGAAGTAGAGGACGCCGGCGTCCTGCTCCCTCAGGAACGGCGACCATGGAACCCTCCTCGGCAGCCCCGCCTCCACGAAGCCCTCCATCACCCGTAGGCCGCCCTGCTCGCGGACTCATCCGTCCTCCAGTCCGTTCAGGATCGTTCAGGAGCGGCCAGGAAGGCGGCGCCGCCATGTCGTTCAGGATCGATCGGGTTCGGGTGTCTAGACGATGGTTTCGTCCGAATCCGGGGATGACGGTGATCCGATCCTCATCCTATATATCTCTGCTCGGTAGATAGATTAGATACCGCCTGATCGACTGAGCCGCGAAAGGAAGGCGGCGCTGATTGATTCCATATACGCGATGCGCGCGTCTTCATTCTGATTTTAGTCCCACACTGCTTGGTTACCTAAGGAAGGCCCGGTTGAAATAGAGGAGCACCCCGTCAGCTCATCGCCGGGCCAAGTAGCGGAGGCCTGTGACCCTAGCGGGGGCATCAAAGGTGGAGGGATAACCGGGGCTTGCGGCGTCTTGTAGAGGCCGTGTTCCATTACGTGCGACATGTGTGGTGGGTAGCGCCCTTCGCCGGTGCTCACGCGCCAGACTCGGTAGGCCCCTGCACGCACTCCTGAAGCGGCGGGTGTCACAAGCTTGCCGGCATGCCGAAGCAGCAACGACACCCGCTTCCCGACGGGTGGAATCGGCTTGGTCCTTGCGCCTCATCCCCGGCAAAACCACCAATCTTTTTTGCATTTTTCTTTTTTCCTTTCTTCTTTCTTTTGGTGGGAATGCGCATCACATGAACATCAGCAACATGTATCTTGCCCGGACAAAATGAACTTCAATTTCTACTTAGCTAGATCTGCATACAGTATATGAGATTGTCGCCGACAGACACAAAATGCGATGGTAGATTGCCATGTATATGAAGTTTGTCATATAGCACTGGAGGATCTCGACTTAAAGAACGAGCTCGGTAAAGTTTCCTTCCACGTGTCCATCATGGAGGTGGTTGGCGGCTCCGTGACAGCATAACCTAGAAGCCAAGTGTATGACTAGAAGTGCTCGGCTTGGTCCGTGGGCATCACTCCCGGCCAAATCATCAATCTTTTTATAAATTTATTTAAACTAGGCATATTCCCATGCGTTGCTACGCAGCAATAAAATATAGAATATGAAGCGATTTATCAAATGCAATATTTTACCCAACTTAAAATACAGTATCCAGTCATCCAAACTGAGGAGACTAATATTTTTTTTGCGAGAGAGGAGACTAATATTAGGCATGCAAGTCTTTAATATGTATTTCTCAGTACAACATAAAGGTTCACCGGACTTCTTAAATATGTGAGGCACGCAAAGTTTATGAAATCACGGTGCAAATCAAATTTTAGAAAAGACAGTGCGTAACCTGACAATTATTGTAGTTCAAGAATCCACCATTAAACCGGACATCTAGTGTGGCATCTCATGGTTTATGCTTTGTGACCTCGCATATACACATCAGCCACATAACAAGCTATGACATCAAACAATTATGCTTATTGTCTGTCAAAAAATATAACCGTCCTCGTGGCGATGATTTTCTTGCACAAGGAGCCTGGAAAGACCAACAAATTAACACTAGCTAGCAAGGATAACCAAATACCAACCAGTCACCGACACCTATAAACACTCAAAGGTTCTGTGGTCTCGACGTAGGCGAAGGTCCGTGGACGGATGTGGTGAGTTGGTATAACAGCAACCTCAGCGCCGCGGTCCCTCTCGCTGATTTCTACCACGCCATGTCGTGCCTGCTTCTTTACGTCATTGCTTGGCTTGTGTTTGTATAAGACATAACCACCATAACAACGACCTCCTTCTTGGTACGAGTCCCATCTCATCGTCAGGACGTCGTCAAACTCGCTGTCGTCGTCGTGGGTAGTAAAGCTAATTGGTAGTGTGAGCTGATGCTGGTGCGCGAGTTGATCTACTGGCTTCTCCATTATTATGTTGTACCAGTGGCTCCACGTACGTCGTCGTCCCGCCATCCCATGCTCCATGACCCACACCTCCGTTTTGTCCGCCGTCCACCACCCGCGGCTAAACGCCACGCCCAGCCTCCCGCGCACCTCCACAAGGTGCCAGCTACCGTGTCTAGACAGCACTTTTGTCAACGGCCTGACGGATGCGACGTGCTCGCTGTTGAGGTCAAAGGACACGACCTTAGCCTCCCAGCCTTTCACCGCCCAGTATACCATGCCGTCGATGTTAACCATGCCCTTGCTGATGTCGTATATCTCCGTTGGGCTGCCTGTGGCGATGTCTCGCTAGAGCGCCTCCCCGAGCGTGAACAACCAGCTGTATGGGACGTGCAGGACCTTATACCTCCCCGTCGTGGGGTGGTACATGAAGGTGAACGTTAGACGTGAGTCCGAAGTGGCCTTCGCGTGCCTCATCGGAGGTGGCGGCGTTATGGCCAGCATCTCGCCAGTGACCGGATTTGCAAGGATGATGGGCCCGTCAGGGTCCTGACTGTCGTACATGCAGACGAGGCCGTTGCAGGTGCCGACAAGGCTCATGCCATCGTAGCCGGCTCCGGTCCATCGGGATGATGGTAGGCCCTCCTCGCCAAGGTGTATTGTATCGACGGTGGTGACGAGCATCTTGGGGCGGCTCTGCATCTCGGTGGTGTGTGTGTCGATGATGTCACGCCAGAGCCGACAGGCTAGACGGAACCGCCGGAGGGAGCTCGTCGGGAGGCGCAGCAAGACCTCGATGAGGACGTCCACTGGGAGTAACTCCCCGATGTTGTTGTCACCGTCGGCCATGGATCTCTGCTGATCTTTCTTGCTCTGTGGCCTTTAGTTTCTCGTTTTTACTAATATAAACGAAGTCAAGCTACCCAGGAGGTGTCCGCATCGGACTAGATGACCTAAACGGAATTGACACGGGCGTGCATCGACAGGAAGGGAAACCTTATGTTTCCAACTAAGGCACAAGTTGGATTAGTATTATTGAGATCGCAGTAAGGCAGCAAGCAACACGCACGTACGTGTGAACTTAAGCATTCTTTTTTTTTATAAACACGGAACTTAGACATTCTCACGCACTAGGATTTCACCGCCGGGTACCATGCTTTATATACATATTTATAAAAATATATGGTTTGCTAATTTTTATCTAGATGATTTTTTTTGACAGAAAGGCCTTCCAAGCTAGCTTTATTACTCAATAAGACTTACATCATCCGCTAGAAATTTAATGATACAATCAGGAGGTGCATCCACCCATAATGAGGGCGTGTTTGCGGACCCCCTAGCTAGCTAGCACATGAGCGACAATATTTTATTCTCTATTACAATGCTCAATAGCAACCTTCGCGAAATCTCGTAGTAAGTTTCGACAATCTTCTAGAATAGGGGCCCTCACCATATTTTGACCTTCATTTAACCGGAGAGCTTCTACCACCACAACGTTGTCCATTCTCACCATGATGTTTCTGCAGCCGAAGCTTATGTCCCTCAAGAAGAGCCGCCGCTTCCGCGGAGACATCTGCTACATGCATTAGATTGGCAGTGGAAGCACCAATGAAGTTCCCGCGGCTGTCCCGTACTACTACTCCACATCCTCGTGAGTGGTCGCCCACATGAAATGAAGCGTCCACGTTGAGTACTTGTTGCCCAGACAGTACCATCGGCCACTGGTTAATTCTAGGAGTATTCTTTGGCTTGCCGACGGCACAGACATAATTCAGAGTTAATGCATGGATCGACATTGCTGCTCTGGTGTGAGTATTGTTTCTCCGCGTACATACTGTCTGTGCTGCCACCAAATATACCAACAGGTTGCAGTCAACTCTGAAAAAGCTATTGGATCAGAGAACATCCGCTAATGAGCATTCTCACATCAAAAATGCTACACATACAGGCTCATTCTACAGGTTTTTACAGGTTAAGGACCATTCGCTCTTCTAGTTGCCCCCCCCCCCCCCTGATTTTCACCGGTGGGTCCGTGCATCTTAATCAATCCTCGGCCAATCACTATTAAGCAACCTGTAAACCTCCTGTAAAACTTCGTACGTCTAGCAAAGCTCTTCTCACATAGCAAGAACTCAGGTACACCAGCCCCTGATCGGTCAATCAATGTAGCATCCGATATTAAATGTAGCCCCTGAAATGTAGTACACGAAGTCGCAGAATGCAGATCTTGGCCAACCCACCGACCACGCACACATGCGTTGGCGCGGCGCTCCGGGCGTGGCCCGAGTTCTGCAGCCTGCTGAACCTTCCTCGCGCGTGCCCACACTTCCTCGGCCTCTGCTTGTTCCTGCGCCTCGCCGTAAACATCATCAGGTGTGTAACCTGCATACAGAAGAAAGATTGATAGGTGCATGTAAAACTAAGAACCAGCAAATCTGATTCAAACACAAAAGAACAAGGGCAAGCTTATGCTATCCTGCTGAGCCACGACTGGCACTACCCCTTGTTGTTATGGAAGAACCAGGAGAGCACGAGCAGACCACCTCTGGAGAAGACCACCTCGTCAGCCGTGCATGGAGTCGAGGAAGGCCGAGCCTAGAATTGCGGGAGGCCGCGACGACGTCAACAACGTCGCCACACCGAAGATGGGGGTTGCTAGAACGCCCGTGCGAGAGAAGAGAGGTGGATAACCGGATAAGAAACCAGGGGATCGGATCGTGGGCAGCTTCCTGATCAGATCGTGGGCGGGATCAAAACGGGAAGGAGGATATGGATTCAGGGGATGAGAGGGGTGGGGTGGGGATCACGAGAGCTTATCCATGTCTTGGGGCGGCCATCCATGCCGAGCGGGGCGACGTATTCGAGGCGCCGGCGGCGCCGGCGTTCTCGTGATCCATGATGGCCGCGTCTGCCTGGATAGGCAGATCGGCGGCGGTAGCGGCGGCTGCGCTGCCCGGATCGGCAGATCGATGGCGGCGAATCCGGCGAAGGCGGCGGCTGCGTATCCTCGGGAGAGGGGAGGAGCGGATCGGGACCTCGCTCGGGAGAGGAGCCCTGTGTCTCGAGGGGATCGAAGGGCACGAGGAATGGCTCGTAGGTGCGAGCGTCTGGCTAATTTTGGTAGGTTAATCGTAGTAGATTTTTTTAGGACGATTTTCTATCGATGAACCATAGTGTTTCACAACGGGCCTCGGGTAGCATACCGTTTTTTTTGTCGGTCTCGAGGGTGGAAGGGGGGAATGGCTGGTTTGCGGGAGGTGGGATTGAGGATGAAAATTAACCGTCTCTGATGGGACGAAAATTGACCGGCGGGGACTACCAACTGCTCTATTAGGAGTAGAGATCGCAGTAAGGCAGCAACCGACGTGCACGTAAGTACGTGTGATTTTCTTCCTTTGACTCGAGAACTTACGCATTCTCTTCATTTTTTGAACATAGAGCTTAGACATTCTTACGCACTAGGATTTCACCGCGGGGTACCATGCTTTATATACGTATTTATAAAAATATCTGGTTTGCTAATTCTAATCTAGATTAGAATTAGCAAAGCCTCATCTAACTCCTACACTATTTAATTGATGGAAGAAGATCGCCTCCCTTGTCGCCTCGCTCATGGCGGCGGCTAGAGCCGCGAGGCACTTTTTTTAGGGGTGAGCCGCGAGGCACCTATAACCGAGTAAAACAGGATCAGGAACCTACAACTCGCAGCGAGCGAAGGAACCTCGCTACAGGGCCGGCCCATGGAGGGCGATTTCGATCGTCTCTCGTGGAAGGAGGAGGGAACCGCCTTTGCCGGCGCCGGCCAAGGCTCCTCTCCGCTTCCTCCCCCCATTATCGTCCCTTCCTAGTATAGATTCAAGCTCCTCAATTCGGTTTGGTTCCAGCTTATGAATCGATTCCGGAATCCCCTCCCAGACCCAGTTGGAGTCGGATCAGAGTCAGAGGCCCCTACAACTCCCCCACAAAAAAAGGGTTCAGGGTGTCAGCACCCTGAGGCTCGAAATCCTCATTGGATTCAATAATACTGACAACACGCGCCGCCAAGTAAGTTTATGCCTTGTCGCTGTTGGAATTTTTCTTCAACTCCATCTCCTTCCTACCACTAGAGATTTCCTTCTCTCCTCAACACATACTACTAGAGTCCTGAACGCATACTACTAGTATATAGATAGATATACTAAGAGACATAAGAGTGTGTAACTCTTCTCTGTTTGTCCATTGCCAGGTTTGTAGATCGCAGTCATGGATCGGTTTCAGCAGTCCAAGGAGGAAGATAGGCTCACCGCGCTGACCGACTATGTTTTGCTCAATATCTTGGGGAGAGTCGGCCTAAGTACGGCGGCAAGGACGAGCGCGCTGTCGACCCGGTGGAGACAGCTGCCTTGGTTGCTGCCTGAGCTCAGCATTGATGTCATGGATTTCCTACCCACTCCACACGCAGACCTAGTTGAGGAAGATGACATGCTCAGAGCGATGGCGTCTCTGACCCAAGCAGTGAGGAGTTTGTTTACTAGGCCTCTGAGGGGATGCACCGTCATGAAGCTGCAACTTAAGCTCTACTTGATCGACTGTTTCTCGAGCGATATCGGCCCACTACTATCTGACGCTATTGACGCCGGTCTACTCAAAGATCTGGACCTTACCGTTCTTGATGAGACAGATTACCAATGTTATCCGTACATGCGAAGCCTTGCCAAACGCATGTATGAGTTTTCCGGTGCCTACCCTAGTGTGCTCCATTGCCTCACAAGACTCTCTATATGCAACATGTGTTTTGACCAATTGGACATGCACCATATCCTATTTGACTGCTGCAAACAACTCAAGCATCTAACCATGTCTAACTGTGATGCTGGTTGTTGGTCCCTGTTGAAGATAGACGCACCCAACTCAAACCTGAAAGTCTCGGAGCTAGACAACATGTGTTGTTTTGAGAGAATTGAGGTTGTCTGCCTTGCCAAGCTGGAGAAGCTCCATTGGGATACTTGGATATCTGAATATGCCCCCTTGTCTTTTGGTTTTGCTCCCTCCCTCATGGAATTACACCTCTCAAATGCCTTCAAGATTAAACAGCATGAACTTAAATTAAGCCAGCTTCTACATGGAGCTGGAGGCATTCATACTCTCACATTGGATTTCCGAGGAGAAAACGTAAGCTCTCTAACTCATTTTTTTCCGTATTCATTATGCTGTCAAATTTATCCTAGTTATATCTTGGATGTGCCTTCGTATGACATACATAAATTCATTAATGTTTTCAACAAACTGTTGTGAAACTACTCATTGATAGAAGTTTACGGAAAACCACACAGAGAATGTTAATTAGGGCCATAAAAATAAGTTTGAATCAAAGCCCGTTGTGTTTAATGGCAAGCAAGTATGATGTCAACCTGCATCAAGAATGGATTTGTTAGAATAATCCGAGGCACTCCGTCGATCTACCGAGGAGCAAGCAATCACACGAGGCACGACACCGAGATTTGTTAACGAGGTTCACCGATATGGCTACATCCCCGGGGCTTGACTACGGGCGCTCCTCCCCATGACACCGCTACAATACCGCACCTTGGCCGCCCGGGCGCCGACACACGCCGCCGGCTCCCCCGCGTGCCTGTGCTATTATGTTGGCATAGGTTACATCGTGTGTCTACCCTCGCTATATATCAGAGGCCTAGGATACAAGTGTCCTATTAGGACACAACTCCTACCCTGTATACACAGAGTCCAAAACCAAGTCCAACTGTAACCTACCTTGTACAATAATATTCGACATAATTCTAACAGGATTTTCTTAATTTTTTTCCTTTTGCAATTTAAGTGTATTTTCCCTATTCTGACTTTTTCCTGTA